AACCGAAATTATTTAGGTGAATTTTTATTTTTTTTAATTATCAAATCAGGTAAACAGTGTAGTTAAAGAACACTAATTATAAAGGGTAATAATTCGCTACAATGACTGAAGGTTTTACTTACTGTTCGCCTAGAACGTCGCTGCACAGTTGATAAAACAGATCTACTTTAAATGTGTCGCCAAAAGCTTGTGTTTGATACCAACCAAATTCAGTACATGTTTGATACAACCATTGACGCGCTGAAATAAATAGAGAATAAGTAATTTTGCTTTTAACAGATATTTAAAGGGATGCGGATACTGTTGTTGTTGTCAAACCGTATACAGGATGAGTCATAAGTATTAAAACATAGAGTAACTGAAAGTTATTCGAACGAAAATATGAAGATTGGATTAAGCATGCCTTAGTGAAGTGTTGTTGTGGAAAAAGACACAGCGTAGTGTTCAATAAAATACGGATGACAATGATAATTTACATCATGAAAGTGAGCAGTCTATTACAAAGGAAGCTATGGCACACGATCAAGTGATTCATGTGAACTATAAAAAACCATCGATTTATGCATGTTTTCTATACAAAATAGTTCGGATGTTTCTCATCTGCCAGGCGTCAGACACATTTGTTTTTTATTTTTGAATGCAAAATATTATATAAACATCATTCTTACGTAAAATTGTTTTACTTGTTCCAACTTGATAATTTCAATCGTTTTCGATAAAAACGTAGTTGAACATTTTAGAGCATTTCAATATGATATTATAGGCGACCGACTACTAGGACCATTATGATCTTCCTCCAAACTTGAACAAATAATTATATCTATAGGTAGTTTTGATAACATTTTGGATGATCTCCACTAGATTTAAGGGAAAAACTTTTAGGTGTTTCATTCCCACCAGCCACTAATGTTGGTGGGCGGGCAATCCCTGCACTCTACGCCGGAAGGTAGCTCCTGTTCAACCTTCTTTCAGGAATCATGGGAATGGGTGGGTAGTGGTTCGGTTGAGAAAGATGAGACGGACGAAATGAGGACCGAGGCAGACGGACTCGGAATCGAACCGGCGTCCTCCAGAATGCTGAGGAATGGTCTAAACCTCCAGATTATGCCGTACATTCTAGATTTAAGAAGAACCATGTGGCTTACACTAGATGAAATACCACCTTATTACTGAGTGAAGGTTGTTCTACTGCTTCTTATTTGAATTTTCTTTTCGAATTTGAAATATTTAATTGCGTTTTTCTCGAAAACAATTGAAACTGTCAAGCAGAAGGAAGTGTAATATTTTACATAAGAATAAAGTTAATGACATATGTTGTATAATTAAAATTATCAAAGCGTCTCGTTAATAAAAAGTGCGCCTTAGTTTCATCTTCAAGAATAGCTCTAGTGGCGTCCCTTGTAACAAAATGTGATATAATTAATGACATGTTATTTTCTGAGTTATACCTCTGTGTCAATTTTGACGACAATTATGAAAACCTTGTAATATGATTACCAAGAAACTAAAATGATATATCACCATTAACACCCAGCATTCTTTTCCACAGCAACATTTTAGTAAGGTAGGTTTGGTCCAATTTTCACAGGTTCAAATAACGGACACTTACTCTATGTTCCAATAGTTCCGACTCTATTAACACTAACAGCAGGTCAACAGCTTCTTCTATATATATATATTGTTTCCCTTCGGTTTCTTTTTAAAGATTTATTTCCATAGTTTTCTTTTATATTGAAATTTGTAATCTGTATAGTTTTAACGTTAAAGATTAAATCTAAAAATTTTAATGAATCCACAACAATTTGTTTTATTACTCCTGGTCTTTTTGAATTTTTCGACCAGGTATGAATGATGAACTGGTACCAAATGTTATAAATGCCGAAGAAGATTCTTCATTATTATTGTTTTTCAATTTTAAAATGAGACAATTATTATAAAGTGTACGTTTACTTTCAATAGATGCTAGAAATGAAAGTGAATTTTTTAATGTGTGAATTTGTGAATCATTTTGACAGTTTACACTCATTTTATTAAAGAGGAACGAGTACATAGAACTGTCTAAAAGTTACTAGTACTCGAGTGAGTCAGAGAGGTGTAAGCAATATCTACTTACTTCTCATTCTTACTCCTATGGCGTGTGTTTCAGAATAATACTCTTTAAACAAATCGTAAGTCCATATGCAATACTGTAGTGGTTTTATGTACTTAGCTAACTTTTCTAAGTCAGATCCTGTGTTATTCTCCAGACGTTCACACTCGGCCACCAAATCGCCAGGATCCGCAGTTTGAACTACATCCGCAAATGGTGATGAAAGACTGGTAAGGAAATAAGATCTGTCTGGTTCTACTGGACCTTTTAGAGGCTCACAGGTACTACAAATACAAGTTATAAAACACTATTTACATTTTCCTCTCTATTATAAAGGGTGTAACAGAAATAAGTGCGGACCATGGGAGGATGTAAACCAGAAGATGAAATAAAAACTCCGCATCTAGTTCAAATAAGAGTGTAACCAGTACCGATTATTGAACATCTAAGATAAACAAACAAATTACTACTACACATAGCATTACGATAAAAATAAATTAAATAACTACATTTGTTCATCGCTGGCAGCAAGCAGCACTATGTAAATTACGCTCAAAAACGTCAAACATTTAGCGTATTTCATTTGAAGCGAGTATCCACAGTCATATGGTCATTAGGGTTGTGCACTGGGGTGTGATATATGTGATATGTGATTGTAAATTACACCTCAAGGTGTTTTAAGAACACAAAAAAAATGCATAGTAAGTAGTGTTGTCGCCTTGGTTCGGTATCCTTTCCTTAACGCACTTCTTTGAACGGCACGAAAAGTCTCGATATGTTTTAGGGATATTGATTAACACCAAATTACCGAATTTAAAACACAACACTTAAACAAATAGACCAACACGCTTATTAATTAAAAAATTGAAACTAAAAATGTTGAAGGAAACTGTGACGGATTCCGAAAAAACATTTTTATGTCGAAGATAAAACTGCTCAAAAATGAATTTTGATAGAAAATAATGGAAAGGAATAAACTCTTTTTGGAGTGTAGTTAGGTGAGGTGTTAGGATTGTTAATTGATTGAAGATTTTCAATTAAAGAAAGATGAATATAGGTGGATAAAGATAGTGGGAATACTAAAGGGTCATCGTCCGATCACGTGAACAACGCGTGACGGGGAAGTTTGTGACGATGCAATGAGAGCAGCCTCCAAGAATGATGCTGTTGAGGCAGTAGCATTAATAAATGTTATTGGGATTCAATTTATTTTTGACAAAGGTAAAGGACTTGTGAAGTGAATTCCCGCCTACCTACTTGTCAGTTATTGGTTCCGGCAAACAACACTACTAAACATACATATGCACATACTTGCACTGCACACTTAATTTAACAAATAACGAAACAATATACAAACCATGTACAAAGGAATTCACAAGAAATAGACATTGATGCTGCTAATTATCAACTGATGGAATACAGCGTTGCGTTCTTACATTTGTTTACCAGGGCCAGAATTACATTTACCTGTACGGTGAACATTCGATTTTTCTTAATTTTCTTGCTTTACAGTGCCCTATCGCCTTCTGCAAGCTCCGCGCACCTATTCTTGTTACACTCTTTACTTTCTTTGTGTGAGTATACATGAATAAAAGGAATACCCACTTAAATAATTCCGATAAAGTGGCAGCACCCTCTCGAGTTTCTAGCATTTTCATTGCATCAGCCATGGCTCTTCTGATTAGTTGTGGACAAGTCGGGGATGCAAGGCGTAGACTTTCTTCCACAGCAGCAAAATATTCTACAGAAAGTTGGCAATTGTTTGGTATTTTGTATATTACTTAATCACAGGAATGAAATTTACTTGAAATAGGTACATACCCACCTACGTCTATTCAAAATACAATTAACATAAAAACGCAAAACATTATGTACATAAAC